CAGTGATACAGATTTTTTTTTAATATAGGGGAAAAAAATACCTGAGCATATACTAAATGTGCTTCTGAGCAGTTCAGATTTGAAAAACAATTTTGGAAGATTGTTCAGATGTTAGCAAAGGGTAAAAATGACTAAATACTTGTTAATAATTGGTCAAAATTTGACTAAAGACATTTGGGTCTCTATTAAGTATGCATTTCTCCATTCTCTTCTTGCCAAGAACTTTCTTTCCAGCCTAATTTTGATGACAGTTAAAGTTGATCAAGTGTCATCAACTGTTAATTAATGACACTGCAGGAGTCGGCTCTGGAAGCTGACCAAAACTGCCATCTTACAATAAAAACAATCCACATCCTCACTTAGCAATGCTTACAAAGTAATGAGACATATTCCCCAAACAGTGGGGAAGGAGCCATCGACGGTTGTACTTAATGATTTATAATAGAAAAGAATTTTTGAATTTTAATTGATTAGTTATAATGTGATTACCTTATTTAAATAAAAGAATTTTATATTGGTATGAAATGACAGTAAGAAATGATACTGAATTGCTCACAGCATAGCATAACTAACCTTCTTTTGCTCTAACTGATTATTCCAGTTGAGTTCTTTGTTAAGTATCTTTTCTTGCCTGCTTTTGTGCCTTCATTCATAGTTTCTCTTTCATGTCTGGCCTTTTGCTCCTTTTTACAACTTTGATGCCAGCATCATTTGTTACTGACATTCCTTAAATGATCCCCAATGTCTCCTGTTTTTTTTTTTTTAAATGCCAACTTCATACTCTTCATATTCTTCATAATCTGGTAAGAACTAAGTTTCTTGGTTTTCCAAGGTGAAGCATAAGCTTTTCCCTTGTAACAAATCAACTATTTGACATTAGATGAAACAACATGGAGATTGTATTAAGTAGCCCGTAGAATGATAGAGGTGGGAGGGGCCTTAGAAATTATCTACAGCTAACCCATCATGTTCCATTTAGGATAAGTAGGCCTGTCAGGAGAAAGTGATTTGACAGAGGTCACACAGGCAGTAAGTTAGAGAATTAAGTTTTAGGCAAGGTTCCTTAGTCCAAATCCTGTGCTCTTTCTGTTCCATGGTGCTGTAGTTCCACTATTTTAAATGTGATTTAAAGATGTGAACATCAATAAGATGATTTGTCACTGTGTACTGTGGATCCATGATTTAATTGGGTTAAGAAAGTCTTAATGATGAAACTCCTTCTGTCAGTGCAGAGCTCCAACTGTTTCACAACTTATAGACCGACTTAGCTGGGACATGAGGAAGTTCAGTGACTCGGTGGTGTTCGTCAGAGATGGGTCTTCAATCAATGCTTTCAAGGCTGCTCCTCTGTCCTCTATCATGAATTATCAGACTTTTAGGGATAATGCATTAAAAGAGATTATGAAATACAATGTTAGAAAAGGATACAATTATACAAGCCCAAAGTTAATTGTATTCACAGCAGAAACAAACTCCAGATCACAGGGCCCATCACTCACTGTATTTTTAGATTTTTTAATCAATACGTAATACATAATAATACATTTATACTCTTAAAAATTATTGAATACCCCAGAGATCTTTTATGTAGATTCTTTCAATATATAGTATAATAGAAGCTTTTACAAATCTTAGTAGTATTATTATGATACTAGTTTGACTGTGAGGACTCCCTGAAAGAGTATCAGGGACTTTTGGAGGTCCCTGGACCACAATTTGAGTACCACTAGGTGGCCAGGCCTGGAGTCAGGATAACTCATCTTTGTGAATTCAAATCTGGCCTCACACACTTAGTAGCTGTGTGACCCTGGGAAAGTCACTTAACCCTGTTTGCCTCAGTTCCTCGTCTGTAAAATGAGCTGGAGAAGGAAATGACAAACCACTCCAGTATCTTTGCCAAGAAAGCCCCAAATGAGGTCACAAAGAGTCGGACACAACAAAAGCAAAAACAAAAAACCCCCTACAACTGAACAACAAATTATTTATTATGAGATAATGTCTCTTTTTGTAGTGGTAAGATTTGGTTATTATTGACTTTAACAAAATCATTTAAAAATTACTGGGACAGTAATGGAGGTTATGTTTGTATTCCTGATTCAGAAAGATACTTTGAAAATTCTTTTTTTTTTTTTAATCATAACAAATTGCAATGTGATGAATTAAAGGATTGGCATGTTTTAATTTAGCTCCAACTTTGTTTTAGACCATTAGGTATCTATGTACCTATGATAGCACCTTATCTACTCTTGGAGAAGTAGAGGGGCTAACATCAATGTACACACAACCCAACAATAGGAACAGTTTTTGTTGTTAAGATTCTCTCTGCCCTGGGAGCCCCAAGTGTTGTCACACATAAATATATACTCAGGAACTTGTCACAGTCTTGGACTGTAGAGTGTTTTGTTCTCTTTATCTCTAAAACATTGGTGTTTTTTGTGAATAGCAAATGATTTATTTAAAAAAAAACTCAGTTTACATCTGAGATAGTTTCAATTCTAATTTTCATTCCTTCTGTCTTTTTTTGCATTTTAGATGTGTCAGTCTTTGAAGTTCTGTTGCAAACTAAAGTAACTTTTAGTTTCCCAGGGTTCAGGATGTCTTTTAACTCATCTGGATGGCTTTAGTTATCTAGACTAGGGGCTTTTAAAGAAATTTCTAGCTGTTGACTTTGAGTACACCCTGGGAATTAGGTATAGTCATTGTTAGAAGATGGTAATCGGCCAAAAGGTAGTTATTGGCATTAAGTAAACCCAGGCTGTCCTAACAGTAATGTATGTGTTACATGAAATATTGATATGTACGGGTTGGAAAACAATGGTCTAGTGCAAAGAGTACTTGTTTTGAGCATCATAATAGGATTTATCAATTATCTGGAATTTATATTTGAATCCTTGTCCATAATATAATAATAGATGCAAAAATATTTCAAGGCTAAGACTAGGTTCCAGATATTTCTGTCCCAAGGGAAAAGTAAATTAACATCATAGGAGAGTAGAAAGAAGGCTGACTGACAGAGGATCTGAGTTCCAATGCTGGCTTTGCTGCTTAATTATACAGTTCACTTAACTTCTGTGGGCTTTAGTTTCCTTATGATAAAAGGAGTTGGTTGGATGAAAAGACTTCTGATGTCCCTTCCAGCTCAAAATCTGTGAAGCTGAGTTCAAGTCTTAGTCCTTATTTACCACTGGCAAGATCTTGGTGAAGGCACTTCAGCTGTCAGTGTCTTCTCTGACATGAGAATGAATGAGGTTGTCAGACGAGGTGATCTATTTCTAGGATTACTTTTCCTCAATGATGTTATGAACTCATTTAAGTTTGCAAAGACTCCATGTTGCTACCAACCAAAAAATGAAGAGGGAAGGAGTATCCCTCAAAAGTGTGAAAGTCCCAAGTGGTTGGAAAATAAAAACCAAAGAAATGAGTGTCCCAGAACTCCATCTTGAGAGGTAGAGGGGGAGGAGGGGCACTGCTTCTCCTGGTAGGCAGTAATTAATTTTGGGTAATATATGTAGTGACAGCTAAGCATGTTGGGGTTCTAGTGAATTATTTAAAAATGTGCCCCTTATTCCAGAATCACAAGGTTGGAAAGCCTACGGATCACTTTATACCTTGTAGAATCAGAAGAATTCACTATGGCCTTAGCTCACACATCTAAGTGAAAGTCCCAAAGTAACTTTGGGATTTTTCTTTCAAATCAACATCAGCTGCTCTTTGGCCTTTCGATTTCTTTGCTTTCCTTCCTAAACCCACCCCCTTCTTTATTCCTGATCTATTCTATAATCAGAGAAGATAGAAATCAGTCCTCAGGCAACAATCTAATCTCTTGAAGCCATATGGGTAAATGAAAAAATAATTACAATTTTAAAGAATTGAACCTTATGTCTCTCATTTTCCCCTTGTGTATGTGTATGTGTGTAAGATGGCATAATTTAATTCTCTGTGTGTTTGTCTTTTATTCCCTCCATCTTTGTCCTCTTCCAATAAAACATGCCTGTCAATTGAGATGCCTAAAAGGGGTCTAGTGTAAGGTAAAAGGAAACAAAATCCCCCAAAGCAGAGGGGCTACCTGATTGTTTCCTTTTAAAGTGGAAAGTTTCCATAGTAAGGAGATGTTGAGTCAGATTTTTACTATTTGTGCTTCACTTCTCGAGGAAATCACTAGAGGATAGAAAAAGAAAATGGTGCCTCATTTTGCTTGTTGGTCCCACCTCCCCATCCCTGACCTCTACACCAAGGTACACAATATCTATTGCTATGTTCACTATTCTCTGGCATGTCTGTTACTCCATTTAAGAATGGAATACATTCTTATTGGATTTGGATTTGGAGTCAGAGCATTGGGGAGAAATACTGCTAATGCTACTTATTACCAATGTGATGTTGGGTGAGCCACTTTAACTCTGTGGGCCTCAGTTTCCTCATTTATGAAATGAGGGGGTTAATTTAGACAACCTTTAAGGACCTTTCCAGCCCCAAGTCCCCAGGTTTTATATGAATGGGTGATTCCATAAGGACCACAGTAGCCATCAGCATTTTGTCAATGGTGTGATGTTATATATGGACATATATTAGCATATATTACCTTGTGTGCTTTCCTTTATACCAGCTATTTCTTTCAGTATCTTTATAATGTTTGGAATGAATTTTCTCCTGAAACTTATTTAAAACTAACAAAAGAGAAAATTGCAAATGTTTAAATCTTTTATACTTAGATTTATTTCATAGAAAACACCATTCAGTTCGCTCTAGAAGAGTTTAGGTGGGTGAGGTATTTCTGCTAGCTCACAGAACAGGTTGAAATTTCCGTAGTCCTGTTTTTTGGTGATCCCAGTTTTTCTGTACAGATTCTTCCCATTTTTATCAGATGATTTGATTTTTTAAAAAATCTGTTTTATACTCATTTTCATATTATACAATTATTCTTCAGAATATGTATAGAAACTAATGTTTACCTTCAGATTTTAACTGTGTCTTTTCTGCCCCCCCCCCCATTTTTCCAGTTGTTTTTATTTCAGTTGCTGCGAGGACTGTCTTACATCCACCAGCGTTATATTTTGCACAGAGACCTGAAGCCACAGAATCTTCTCATCAGTGACACGGGGGAGTTAAAGCTGGCAGATTTTGGTAGGAAAGCAGTTAATTATGAGTCTGTTTTGTCATGTTGTGAGTATGCCAGGCAGATGGTGGTGTGGATTTTGCTTAGACACAGCTACTGCATTGTAGAGCCTGGTAAAATTTCCTCTGGAATGAAGGATTCATTATGATCCAAATAATGCTTGATAGATTAAGAAGTGGGAAAGGGAAACATCTTTCATACTCAGAGAGAAGGGCGGGAGATGGGGGGGAGTATCCAGTAGCAGGAGGGAGGAGAGAGGGAGGTCGAGAGAGAGGGAAGGAGGGAGGGAGGAAGAGAAGGAGAGAGAGAGGGGTGAACTTCATTAGCATATTAACACTGGCAGAAAGGGTTGGGACTGAGAATCTTTCAAGCAAGGAAGGTAACAAGTCGTCCTCCTGACATTTTATAGGGAATTCACAGTTTATGATCACTTATATGTATCATCACCCCAGGGACATAACCATTGAGCCCAAGGATCCACAAGCTGGGTTAACCTTTCTTGGAGTGACACTTGGCTCAAGAAGTTTTGAAGAATTAGGAGAGCAAGCACTGAATATCATTGAAGGGAAGAGAGTTGTTTTAGCCTATTCAGTTTAAAAACTGAGGGCAACTAGATGGCACAGTGGGTAGAGTTCTGGGCCTGGAATCAGCAAGACTCATCTTTATGAGTCCAAGTCTGGCTTCAGACATTTATTAGCTATGTAGCTCTGGACAAGTCACTTCACCCTGTTTGCCTCAGTTTCCTCATCTGTAAAAGAGCTGTAGAAGGAAATGGCAGACCACTCTAGTATCTTTGCCAAAAAAAAAACCCAAAATAGTGTCCTAAAGAATCAGACATGATTGAACAGCAACAAATTTATAAACTGAACCTTCCACAAAAAGTTTTCAAATTAGTTTATCCCACTCTAAGACTATGTTCCTTCAACCTTTGTCTCTGTGACTTAGGAGACATGCAGGGCTTGGTTCTCCGCCTCCTTGTTCCCTCCTTTCCCCTCCTTCTTGATGTATTCAGAAATCTCTGAATTGCCCTTGCTCTCTGTCAACCCAGTGAGAATGGGGTGTCGAGCAGAGCCTTAACACCCAGGATTGTCATGGAAGCATGATGTGTTGACAGTACATTGCCTCAATTATTTTTGAATATGTATATTCTGATTAGAAATTTGCTTGGTGAACAGTAGAATGAAATATTGCCCTTGGGACAGAAAGATGCCTGCGAATGTGATATGGGTTATTGCTACAACATAATTATTTCACCAAAAGACAGAAGGGGGCTGGGAGGCAGTAAGAGAAAGAGAAAGAAGAAAAAAATTCCTTTTCCAAAGGTAATATTCTGTTGAACTCAAATGCAGTGAGACATTTCAAACACTCTTCATGCTCCTTTGCTCTTGGATGTACTTTTTGAAGACATTAATGATTAGAAAATTTTGTCATTATATCCTACCTTGGTCTTGGTTGCATTGTTTGGGGAAGCGGGGGGAAGGAAATCTGAGCATTTAGTCTCTTTGATTTTTATAGGTAATGTCCAGCCTTAGAATCAGGTTAAGCGCTGCATGTTGCTTCAGTTTATTTAAGCCTAGAAAGCCTAAGAGAACAGGAGCTATGGATGGCTGCTTATCAAGGCCAAAGATCATTGAATCTTTACCTTGAACCTCCAGTGCCTGCAGTGGGATCCTTATTTCATAAGTATACAATAAATCAGTGAAATGGGGATTTTTCTTCTGACATGCCCTAATAGTCTATAAAGAATAAGTTTGAATAGGATGCCAAAATGTGCAGGACATAGTTAACTGTGTTGGACATAACTTTGGTTGTATTTTCGCAGAAATAGTTTCTTGCTCATAAATTTTAATTTTATGCAAAACTTTTGGAAATATGTTCACATTTTTAATAGGGATAACTTGTGTGTGTTCACTGAAGACACTTTGTTTTCTGCTTCTAAGCAATGTAATGATTGCTAGAAACAAGGTTTTAGTCTTAGAAAGTCTTGTAGACCAGCCGGTCTTTTCAGTAAGTACTAATTTTGTATTTGTACTAGGGAGGAATTTGAGGTGGTTAAAAGCACTACACACACTTCCCCAAATGGATTTAATGCCATTCTCTTCCTCCTATTCATTCACATCTTTTTCACCCAGTCATTTTGCCCAGTGATATTTTATGGTGGGGAATCTTAGAATAAGTGGCCAAAAAGGCCATCACAACAGCACATGTGATTAGGCTGCAGTATGTACTTCCAGTGATTACCCACATGCAACAAATGGTGTAAGAGAGATCGTGGAGGAAATGTGTGATTTGAAAAGGAGGCTTTGTGGTGAGGGTGGGGCTAAGGGATAGTGGTCACTCCCAAAAACTTCCAGGGAGTTTTCGTGAAATGAATGAAGGCCTGGAGCAATACCTCTGACACATGAGTTTGCCCTTTGGTGGCAGTCTTCCTTAGGACCAAAACAGGAATTTCACAGAATGAGAAGGCATAGATGGTTACATTATGATCAGGATAGAAGGAAAACCTCCAGTGATGAGACCATAGACCTAGCCAAGTATTCTGATATAATGGTCAGGTTCAATAGCAAATTAAATGCTATGTCAGGGCTTAACTTTGTAATAAAAAAAAATAATTCATTCTTTTGAGTGTGTCTTTAGTTACTGAAAATCATTAATTGGATCTTCTTGAATTTCTATATTCGAAACCCATCCCTGGCACAAGGCCTCATAGTCTGTTTATTAAGTGTAACAAGAGTGGCTTATCCACTAATTGGCAATTTACTTGATTAATTTTGCATTATTTTTGTCTTTTAATTAAAATTACTGCGCCTAAATGTGTCTGTATGAGCATGTGTGCATGTGTGCCCCTGAGAGAATGTGACATGATGGCAGCCAGATGAGAGTGTCAGAAAAACACACTCCAGGCACAGTCAATTGGCTTTATTACTTTAAAGCACCTAAAATAAACACCTAGTAGCATCTAGATTCAGGGTTTAGGCTGTGGGAAGAGCTTTACTTATAGCTTTTCTATGATGTTTTATTGATTGTATTTGAAGGATATAGCTCCAGATTTAGATGAGGTAGGTGTGTGTGTGTGTGTGTGTGTGTGTGTGTGTGTGTGTTTGTGTGTTTGTACTTGGCATTTAAATTCCAAGTTTGAAGTTTAAATTAAAATTAAATTATATTTAAATTTAAATTCCAAATTTAAATTAGTTCTGGATTTACTCTGTGCTCGGTCCATAATAGGTGCTTAATAAATGCACATGGAATTGAATTTTTGAGTGATTTTGTCATTTTCTGTTTTCCAGGGAAACTGGAGCAGCTAGACAGTCCTTATAGCTATTAAATCCTTGAGATAGGAGAAATTTAGACCCTCTATGGAATCTGGGAAGTCTCATTCTGATGGTTGGAGTCAAGTTTTGTTTGAATTATATTGTGCATGCCCCGTTAACAATCACCATACATGCACCAAAGATTTTAAAGAGGCATTAGGTCACTTGAATAAACCCCAAATAAATAACAACTTTACACTTTGAAAGGTTTCACATCCTGAATATGTGGCAGACTGGGGTGAGAAACATCATGTTTCATTCACGAATATTATTGTGTTTAGCGAACATTTCCTTAGTGTAAGGTACTAAAAGTTTTTGTTTGTTTGTTTTGAAAGCGAAATATGATATAGACTTTATTCTCTAGGAGATTTTAATAGCACCTACTTCCCAGGATTGTTGTGGAGATCAAGTGAGGTAATATTTTAGAATGCACTTTGCAAACTTTGAAGCACTATAGAAATGCCATCATCATCATCATCATCATCAGCATCATCATTATCATTGTTCTTGTTACTGTATAGTATAATGTAATGAAAAGAGCACAGCCTGTAGAATTAGGGGACATGGATTCAAATCCATCCTCTTTGAAGCTTACTACCTCTCAGACACTGAGCAAGTCACACGAACCTTCCTGAGCTTCCTCATCTGTATAATGAAAGCGTTTGGTTAAATGGCCTCTGAGATCCCTTCCAGCTCGAGTTCTTCCATTTTTATTAGAATAGAATAAAAAGACATATAGATGTAGATACGCTATAGATACACACGTATATGTATGTGTGCATACATATAGAAATGACTAACCCTCAAGAAAGAGCATTACAAGTGCAAAGTACTATGAGATTGACACAAGCAGAAAGTTTTCACAGACATAGAGAATCGGTGAAGATTTGACAGAGGAAATGGTATCAGTTTGGTTGCTCGAAGGCAGGGTGGGACTTTCACATATAGAGATGGATGTGGAGTTCATTCCTTGGATGGTGCATGGAGTAAGAAGAGACATATGCATGGGGGGAGGCAAGAATAATCAGGGAGCAGCAGAGTTGGTCAGTTGTTCTGGAAGAGAAGAAACAAGAGATAAAGTTACAAAGGTCAACTTTGGTGTGAGGTAGATTGTGTGGATTATGGGGCAGCTAGGTGGTGATGAGGCATCTAGGTGGTGCGGTTTCCTGGAATCAGGAAGACTTACCTTCATGAGTTCAATTCAAGCCCTCAGACACTTCCTAGCTGTGACTTTGGGCAAATTACTTTTACCTTGTTTGCTTCAGTTTCCTCATCTGTAAAGTGAGCTGGAGAAGGAAATGGCAAATCGCTACAGTTATCTTTATCAAAGAAATCCCAAATGGGGTCATGAAGAGTTGAACATGACTGGAAATCAACTCAACAACGAGAATGAGATTGTGGAGCAGGAGCTTGTGTTTTATTGGTTACTAATGGGGAGCCATTGAAATTTTTTGAGTCTAGGAGTGAGGTAATGAAAATATTGTAAAGAAGGAATTGGAGAGGCATAATAGGAAGGAAGAATGGTTAGTTAAATTTGAAAAGGTTTCCTCTCTGGTGTCCATGGGGTCTTCTGAAAAAAATTCTGAATTAATTCATTAAATACACTAATTAAAAACTTACTTTGTCTTGTTAAGGGATTTGTATTTCTTGTTGAAATATTTGCATACAATTTTTGTTATTCCTTTGAACATTTAAAT